GATTCAGAGTTTTACCTTTGTAGATATGCTGTCTGTTACTAGAGACTGTGTTAAAAAATTAACATCTTATTGATGAACAGCATGCATGTTTGTGCTGCTTTAGGTTATAGTATTTAGTTATCAATTATTTACAAGTGGGCTTTTGGAATTGTTGCAAACATATCTTGCATTTCAATTTTTATGGTAGCTTTTTTTTTTTTTTGCAAATCAGTGAGCTTTCATGCTATGAGTGTACATACATCATTCTTAATCTTTAGCCACTGATGAATTTAAGATGGAGTATAAAATGTGTTTATTAGAATCATGTTAAGATAAAAGTATGTATCAAACTTGTACTTGTTTAGATACAAGATTTTTTTGCCACAAAGTTTGCAAATGTTAACTCTTCTGCTTTTTTCTAGAAATTATTTTTTTGCAACATACAATATCAGGTGTGTTTTGGATATAACATGTCCAGTACTTAATTGCAAATGGTCTACTTTATGCACTTTACTTTTGAATGAAGTCATCATTGGGCATATTTTTGTTTGATGGTCAAAGGAAATAGTTTTCCCATGAATTACTTCTGTCGTGATTAACCCTCTAGTGAATCGATATCCACTTTTTTAAAGTTTCCAATTAAATAATCTTTTGTTAAATAAAGTTTAACTGGCACTTGAAGATGAACCTCTCTTTCTATACATAACAGTATAACTATATTCTCTAGTAAATTTAGATATTTAATTGACTTTTACATTTTTATCTTCTCTATCAATGATAATAGGGAATATAACCCTCAATTTCCATTATAGAGGAGCCCACTGCATTTTATTGGCATGTAATTAAAATGCCTGTTTAATTTCTTTTTTTCTTTTTTTTGAGGCAGAGTGGACAGTGAGAGAGAGAGAGAGAGACAGAAAGGTCTTCCTTTTACCCGTTGGTTCTCCCTCCAATGGCCGCTGCGGCCAGTGCGCTATGGCTGGCGCACTGCGCTGATCCGAAGCCAGGAGCCAGGTGCTTCCTCCTGGTCTCCCATGTGGGTGCAGGGCCCACGGACTTGGGCCATCCTCCACTGCACTCCCGGGCCACAGCAGAGAGCTGGCCTGAAAGAGGGGCAACCGGGACAGAATCCGGTGCCCTGAGCGGGACTAGAACCCGGTGTGCTGGTGCCACAGGCAGAGGATTGGCCTATTGAGCCACAGCGCTGGCTACCTGTTTAATTTCTGAAAGACTGACAGAAAATTGTCTAAAGATTAGCACAGTGGAAAGATATCAATCTCAAACATCTACACACAAGAAAAAGATCTAAGGTTATAGTGAACATTAATCTGAAGATGAAATTATGGATCTAAATTATCCAGGGAGCTTTAAAAAACACATCAAATAGTATGTGCAAATCTGGATTTCCTGAAACAGAATCTTAGAAGTAATTATTGAGGAAGAGATGATGGGGAGTAATCCTGGGAATTTATGTTTCTAATAGACCCTCCCGTTGCTCCTCTAGGCGATGCTCGGGCAACTGGTATAATGGGAGCCACTGGTATAATGGCATGTTCATGAGAAAGAGTTAAGGAATAGAGTTCTCATCACAACTCTGCTACTAACTTATCTGCAAGAATTGACTTAACCTTGACTAACTTCAGCCCTTTTAGTGAGGCACTTCATTTGTAGATACTCTCTCCAGTGATCTGTAGGGTCTATTTGTGATTCTGTTAGTTTATCTATCACAACTTCCTCAAGCAAATCTCCAATCAAAGAGTAAACTTGCAATAAAATGATTAACTGAAAGATCAAACTGCATGTATATTCCAGAGACAAAAATTCCTAGTTTAGCACTGAAACATGTGCTGTTTCTACATCAACATATTAGTGTTTCTACGTGTTCATATTTGAATCCATTAAAGCCAACTAAGAATCTGTTGCTGGTCAACAAGTTAGAAAAATCTGTGGGTGCTCATTTGACTTTTACCATTTCCAAAGTATGTTAACTTCAAATGAAATCTGCCCTCAAACATCAATACAAGAGGTTTTCAAAAGTACAATTTATGGTCTTTCTGGGAAAAAGCAGTTTTGATGTTTTAAAATGAAAGTTCATGGAGAATGTGTATCATAAATAAATTATGCATGGATTTCAAGATTTTGGCACCAATCTAAACATATCTTTTAATTTCATTGTCCACAAACTTTAAGTATCCTTGTATCTGTGATGATGTATTCCCTACCATCAGAGAATAGAAATGTCAAACAATTTCCTGATTATTGACTTTTGTCATTACATACGTCTGTTCTGTGTATATGCTTGGACATAGGTGCTCACATCTAGGAGTACTTAATCATAGTGTCTGTCATAAAGAGAAGATCAAGAAATACTGGTTGGATTAACAAAAGCATCAAGAGAAGAAAGGAAGAGTGGGTGATAGAGTAAAGTTTGGTTTGTTTTCATGAGAGTTCCATCATTGGGCACCACACAATCCACTTTCATCAGCTTAGGAGTCTTCCATAGGAAATATGTTAGGGCATGTGGACCATCCATGAATGTGTACAAATAAGATATTTAGCAGAAGGACTTTGCAGAATGGGTTCTGGAAGGAATCGCTCACCTTTTTTCAAGCAGAGGCTTCCATTGACCAATTTCCCCTCTGTGTTGACATCTATTTTCATCCAACTATGGAGATATTTCTTGCCCTTCTTGACCACTACCCTGGGGCCTTGTTTCTTGAGAAAGAAAGAGGCGTTTTCCATCTCAAGGTACCCTTCCTGATCGTAGCAGGTCCAGTGGGGTGCCTGGGAGCAGAGGGTGACGATGGCTGTTCTAGAGGGGCCACCAGAGGCACTGGAGATGCCCAGGCACCGCGCAGATTTGACGTGAAGGAGCTTCCCATCCTCAGTCCACTGCCACTGCTGGTTCTGGCTGGTCCCATTGCATGAGCCCACGACCACTTTCTGATTTATGAAAAGGCACTGTTGTTTCTGCACATGGACAATCTGAAACCCCTCTGAAAGATGAAAAGCTCATCAAATACTGTATAGTAAATTCTAAGATCCACTGAAAAACAAAACACCCTATCCACAAGTCATCTAACTGAACATCCTAGGTTCACTTAGATTTGCCATGGCTGTCATTCCAATTGAGTATTCCCAGAGAGTAACACATGTGACTGAAAATCCCAAAGCTGACAATGTAAAATGCCAAAATGTCACACTTTAACTCTCCCTTCCCTTTTTAATTTTTTAACCTTTCTTATGATTTAATGAAGAAAGCATACCTTCCTTGAAAAAATGAAAGGAAGCTTGGAAAAATAAAACCATCCAAAGAATATGGCTTTCCTTTGGAAAAGCAAAGACAGTCAAATACTGTGTGATTTTTCTATTTTAACCCAATTAGTTAAATATGCTAATTACAAAAAGCTGAATTCCCCCTTTAACCATTTGATTCTCTCCGTATCACCTTCTTCCCTATTGCAAAAACAAACCAAAAAAATCAAACTCTTTCCAATCCTTAAATTCACATCACAATAAATATTTGTATATGAAGGGCATAGTATGGACTTTTTTTTTAAATTGGATATATTTATTTTAAAGCACCTTCTCATTATTCCAAGCACACCATTCTATCTAACAAACAACCAATGAAAATGTTGGTTATCACAAACTAAGTTTCTCATTGTTCTGGAGAGAAGCATTTGTTTTGTGACAGTGTCTACAACTTTTCCCTCAAACACTAACAAATTCTTTAAAAATCAGCATTTCATGATGTAAGCAAACCAACTGTTAAATATCAGCATTAAAAGATGAGATATGCAGCCTCAGAAACCATTTTCAATGAGCTTTTACTTAAATTGCCCAACTTTCCACAGAAATATCCATTCCTTCCAAATAAAACACAATTCCTGCCCCCTTTAATCATATTTCTTACATTTTCTTTAAGACAAAAGAAAACAAAACTATAACTTGACTGGGAAAAAAGCATGCAGCGTGTTACAGGCTGTTAACAAAAATCACAAGAACTTTCTCCTCAGAGTTCTTTCTGCTATCATGGTGCCACTTCAGGGGCTGCCCAGGGCACTTTGGAGGGACACAAGCAGAGCGTTATTTTCTTCAGGAGAGAAATCTAAACAATCTGGGCACAGCTGGCCCCTTGGATTCCCCCATCTCATCGTCTTTGGCTAAACTGTCATGGAGAGCTGGTTCCATGTCTGCCTTTTTCTAGACACTTTTCTAAGGCCAGGGACTCCTCTGCCAGACCTGGGAGAAATACCTCAGGAAACTGAGGCAGAGCCACTCACCCAAGTTCCCGAAGATCAAGCAGCTAAGAATCGCCATGTAAAATTCAGCCTCCATTTTCCACTTAACAACGGTTCATGCTTCGCTTGGGGGGAAAAAAAATTCTCCCAGATAAGAGAAGCAAAGGCTAGGAAGGAAATGTGCCTTCATGGTGGGGGAAAAGTCAGTGACGAGCACTTCCTCCAATTGAATTGTTTGGGGAAGTTTTACACCAGTGTCCTTTTGTCTGTTTCCTTAGAAAGAAGGGATTAGCAACAAAGCTCTCTCTTGCTCTCTCTCTTTTAAAACACAGATCTAGCCTCCAGGAGCAGAATCAACCTCATAAAATCTTCACCTGCCTATCTGCTTGGCACGTGACTACTCCTTAACCTCGACAGGGGAAAAGGGAGTTGCAATCATGGGTAATTGGATGTTCCTAAACATCTCTCCAGGTGATGCGACTCTGCTGAAAGAACACCAACCATGTAATTTATGAGGGTCTATGACAAGTGATAGAGACAGAAACATGTACTCTTTGTGTAATGATATGCTGGGAGTCTGTCAAGGAGAACCACATAGTGATGGCACTTGGAGATCATTGTCTCCCAAGTGATGACAATATTACATTTTGAGGAGATGGGACGATGCAGAGACCAAAATTAAACCCATCGCATTCTCTACTTTAGGCTTCCCCAAACCAATGATGGCTTCTTTTCAAATAAGGGAGGAAGAAAAAAAAGAATACGCTTTAGTCCATATTTAGTATTAAGAGTAGTTTATTGGCAGTATCAAAGAAAGTCAACATTGTTGCAATAAAAATTCATACTTGAGCAGAACATCTAGTGTTTGCTGAGTGTAGTTGTTTGAACTTTGTATCTGGAGGATTAAAACCTTTCAGAAACTTAAGGACATACATGGCAGTGTCCTTAGGAAGAACTTCTGGAAATGGGACAGATTGCATCATTCCCAAAGGCACCTGCCTTTGACTGGGAGAGAGAGTCCAGGTAGAGAGCATATTCAAAAACCTCTTCTTAGTAAAAGAGAGACAAGTATTTAAAATTCTTGATACTTCATAGTTGTTACAAATTTGTGTTTCTCTTTAAAGTAAAATGCCTCATGATGTAGAAATACATTGGATCGAGTTCTGGAGCAGGAGCTACCTCTATGCTCACTAATAGATAGTAAATACATATATATCCAATGACAATCATTGTGCTCTGTAGTTGACAGGAGGTACTGTAAATACACATGTAGTAGGTAATAATATCAAGACATATTTCCATATAAAATAGTTACTGCTTTTGATTTCTTTTTTCAAAAACAAAACTTACTTTTTAAAAATCCATTATGAATCACTTGCAACTTCAGCAGCAAGATTCTGGTAACTGAGAAAGGTAATAGCACTTAAAACAGGAACAGTTTAACAGTTTAGCTGACAGTCCATTCACAAGACAGATTTTGCAAACATTAAAGCATCTAAACACACAATAATAATTAATAATAATTTCTTCAGCAGCTCTTCCAGTCATCACCTGATGACATGGATCACTGGATATTACATACATACATTCTGTGTGGCAGATAGTCACAGACAAAACAAGATCTGCCTTAGGCTGTGTGAGAAATAGCTCATACCTCCATCAGCATAGGACCTTCAGAAAAACTTGAGGGATGCTTACAGATACATTCGCATACATAAAGGGCTGGCAATCTTGAACATGTTGCCAAGTCTTCCATAATCCTGAGCTCTGGCTTCAGAGCTTAGCTTTCCTTCCACTGCAGGAAACTCCTTTCAGTAAGTTGATTAATCACCCTGGGAGACTGGTGGTCTGTTAAGTCTTCAGTGACTCACTGGACAGTTTCTGCTGAAAGTCTGCTCTCGTACAGGCACAGAGCATGGTGCACAAATTCATACTGCTCACTGGTTTGGACCATTCCACCCCTGCAAGGAAGAGATAATAAAAATAAGCCTGTTTTGCTAACATCCTAGAATCTCAAGTAACATAGATTGTATTCAAGATACGATGTTATTTCAAGGACACACAGAAAAGCTGACCTAAAGATTCTTTTGTTCTCCCTCTTACCTGTATCTAAATGTCTCAATTAGTGAACTGAATACATATAAAACACTAGTATGTTAATAAATATAAAGGTTTTAACACCATGCCTGGTACATACTAGGCACTTGATGAATTGTGCCGGGGTACCATTACTGGGGAGGTGATAAAAAAATAGCCTAATGGTTAAAACTTGGGGTTTGTAACCAGCCAGGCTGAGTTTAAATATCTACTTTGTCAGTTCTCAACTGTGTGATCTTGGGAAAGTTCCTGAAGAACCTCTGTGACTCTGTTTCCTCTTTTGGCAAAGCAGGAAAGAACAGGAACAGTGACTACTTTGTAAGGTTGTTGTGAGGCTTAAAGGAACTCAATGTAACTGGAGTATTAATATTACTGCTTAGGTGCCTTGTCATGTAACTTATGCTTATACATTTGTAATAAAGTTGATTGAAGTAGGTTATCCAAACAAAACTGTGCTGTAATATGTGGCTTTCTACAAGGATAAAGAAAGTCCATCCTGAAATGGCCTATGGAAACAGAGGCCTTTGGGTGTGATGGGTATCCAAACACAATAGTGGGTGGGTCTTTAAATCTGCTGGAAAAAGAGGAACTGGTTCCTGCTTTTTTCCTTTTCTTTTGCCCATTATCACTCCTGGCTGATCAGCATCCTTTTTGTCATTGGCTTAGAAGGCAGTTGCTATCATGAGAAAAAAAATGATACTTTCTTATTACGTTTTCATATATACAATACATGGGTCACCTTTTGCTCCTTTGTTATTACGATTCTTCAGCTTGGCCAGGTTATTAGACATTATTGTAACTAATTTGTCCTGCTCACTGAATAACAACCTCACTATTATAGTAGTAACAACCTGAAGTCCAGAGAAGTCCCCGTAACTGCAATCACAGGACTGATTCTATGTCTTAGTTTAATTCTGTTTTAGCCAGCTTTTTCCTAATGGCTGCTAGTACTATTCAAAATAATTTTCAGGTCACTTAAGCACTTCAACTTTAAAACAAGATAGATTGCTTCAGCATAACATGATTTCTGGTCAATGGTAATAAGTAAGACGGGGCTTATGCCTGTGTTTACTTGTCAACCTCCATAAATATTCAAGCAGTAAGACTTCACCCTTCTAAACCAAATAGTGATTTTTCAGGCAGGTTCCACATGATGCCAAAATAATGTATTTGGCAAGAAAGAAAAAGATAAATTCATAGTTTTTGGTGACAGCAATTTCTTGGAAAGGATATTTCATGGGTCTTTTTCCTAAGAACTGAATGCTTTTTTGTAGTGAAGACAACTTTCTGGCCATAATGTTCCCTGGTAAGAAGCTAAGAACAAAAGCGACCAGATGAGAATATAGTTACTGTTCCTTTTCTTAGGTGTCTGACGGTGACATCTGGGCACACCTAAAGACACAGCAGGTGTGCAGAAGATGCTCACCTGGACAGCCAGTTACAGTAAATATCAGGGCAGCTCTTAAGAGCTTGGGGGTGCCTGCCTTCCTCTGGCATTCCCTCAGCTCTGGGAATCATTATTACTCATTTGAGCTGTAGACTGTGTGGAACCTTAAATGGGCTCCATCTCTTGGGCTCTGGCCTGTGAGCTTTCTATCACCATTTATTTCACTTTGAGGCAAGATTTTTCCCTTTATGCTCTGGTCAGCGCTGGCATTTTGCATGTCCACTTGGTGAATGAATGGAGACACAGTCTGGGTTTGGGGTTTTAATAACTATTACCCTAAGTGGGTCAGCACTGTATTTTATTATGACATTCTGTGAATTCAGCTGGTAAAGGTAGGAGACATGAGGAACATTTGTATTAGTTGTAGGCTAGCAAAGTTCTTGAGGGTCTGAAGGCTTCAGGAAACTATCTGAAAAGTTCTGTTACTTTACACTCGATTTGGAAAATAGAAGGGAAAGAACTGGCCCCAGGGGGATCCTCAGAGATCCTTCTTTGCATTCACTGTTGAAATACAGCTTTGCCAGAGGAAGCAGTCCCTGTGAAGGAGGGGCTGGTAGCTTCTGACGGAACGCTTATGGGGCAAGGTACCCTTGGAGGCAGCCTTTCTCAAGGCTTACAGAAAAATTGTTGATGACATCAGAATGAGTTTGGCCCTCTCGAACTTTCATCCTGATGGTTCAGCTGAAATAAACCAAAAAAGTCTTCAGCCTCCCCTTGTAGTCACACAATAGCCTCTCAATGCTGGAAAACAACCATCAAAGTCTCATAATCTTTTCTTCTCTAGACTAAACATCCTGTGCTCACTCAATATTTCTGAACAGCCTGGTTTCCCTGTTACTCTCTGATCTAGTCTTCTTCTATAGGCTCTTTTGTCAAGCCTGACCGTAGAGTGTTGCGTCTCCTCTGCTGAGATCTGATCAGTGGGTTTATTTTCTCCCTTGAGCTGCGTATTGCAGACCATTAGCTCACCTGTGCAGGTGCCTCAGGTGGTAAGGTCCCACAGTGCCTCCATGGTGCCTGGTACCCACCAAGAAATTTAGGATATTGAATGCAGGTGTAAGCTAATTAAAGAGTCAGCAGGATATTTTTGAGTGTGAAAATTAGAGCTTTCTCCATTTTTGAAACTAAGTGCAGAGCTATTCTGTTCATTTCAACTTGTTGGTTTCTTGTATATTACATTTCTACCACTCAATATGTTATTCTTCTACTTCTCACTCCCAGCATTATGTCTTTCAGACATTTAACAAGGATGTCTTACAGCTTATGTAAGTCATTTATAAACTAATAGAAAAAGATAGGGAGAAGGTAGCATCTTTATTATAACTATTTTGATATCACATCATAAATTGTCTAATCTAAAGTTATTTCCAACTAGGTAGAAATATTTTAAGGGTATTAATAGTGTTACGGTCTTCTTATATTTACAACAGTGAAAAGCACTTACCAGTCCTAGGTCGAGAAGGTTACCTGTTAAGTAGGTTACCTAGGCCACACTATTTTCATGTCGTATTAAAACAGAAAAATTCAGGGCAAAGGGAAAACAAAGGGTATCCCAGAATGCATTTGTTAGAGGCTGGTTCAAATTCAGGAACTCATCACAATCACTTTTTAAAATATTTAATAAATGTTCCATTATGTATATTGGTAGACATAATATTCTGTTGATTTTTGTAAGAACTTAAAATATAGGATGACCCTTCAGCTTTTACTCTGAGACAAAAATAGTCTTTTAATAGGCTGGCAAAACTCAAAAATACTCAATAAACTAGTGCCTGCCTACAAACTACATTCACAGAATAAGGTGGACAAGGTAAATTAACTATGGAGCTCCCAGAGAGTTCTATAGTAATTAATTCTCCAACGAGCTGGTCCCAAGGCAATGCTTAGGTCAAACAGGGCTCCATGGATTTGCTGAAATCTGGCTCTACATTATTCATGTAAAGTTCCTAATCCAAGCTGATTCTGGAAGGTAGGAAGCAGAGAGGCTCTTTTCATTACTTTAAAAGGCAACTCCCATTTAAAGAGCAGAGAGTAAAATAATCCTTGGTCTCCAATAGACTATAGTTTAAACTCAACCAACTTTTACAATTGTAAAGATTTCCATGGCAATCAAGATGATATTTTAATTGAGTTAGGTCTATGGGTCCAAGAATGGCTGAACCATCATCAGTCAGCCAGAATGCCTTAAATTACCACCATTGTTTGAGGTTAAATCATAGTTCCTGCTTGGAGAATTCTCTTAAGGTACAAATCTGTTTTTCTAGGTGATATATAACACATTAGGTTACAATACCAACCATTGACAAGAGCTGAATTGATCAAGAAAGGGTTAGATCAAATACAAACAGCAAGAGAATCCGTTAGCTGTGAGAGTGGTTGTGGGTTTGGAAAGACTCAGAATGCCATGGCATCAAATTCACTATGAACAGGTTCACAAACTGTGTCCAGTGTTTCTGATGATGTGAGAATACCACAGATGGTTGTCAAGACAAAACCTGTTTCCACCACTTACCAGCCACTTTACCTTATTATACAATCTGTACAATGCTCAATTTTTCTCATCTGAAAAATAATGAGGTGAAAATAATACTAACCTCTTAGCATACTGTGAGAAATGAATGGGACAATTCACTTAAAGTATTTAGCATATAGCCAAGCACAAATCAATACTGTAAATGTTAGCTACTATTGTTTCTCTTTGACACTGGTCAAACAGGACTGGTTAGAAGGCTCTCCAGCGAGGTCTTAAAGTTTTTGGAGAACTTAGAGCAAACTTTGCAGGGGATTGCCCAGGTTAGGCAAGCCTAGGTGGAAAGGTACAAATCTGGCTCTAAATGTTGACCACTCTAGAAGGTAGCTAGAGCTAAAGTGGAGACAAGCTGATGCAGTGGAAACCCATGGGCTTGGGGTTAGACAGAGTCAGGTTTGAATCCTTGCCTTTCAACATAGCTATAGGCTTTAGACAAGTCACCTAATCTTTCCTAACCTGGTTGTCCTCACTTCAAAATGACATCATTGACAAACATCATTGGGTTGTGAGGATTGATTAAATTAGAGCATATACATGACTAGCTGCAGGCTCTTCATAGCTTTCGCAGGAGCCCAGCGTCCACAGTGGTACCCGAGGGCCCTTGGCATGGCAGGGGAGCTGGCTGAGCTCTTGAGATCAGCTCCTAATCCCAGCTTTCATCAGAGCAGTTATGCTTTTTTATTGGTTTTCTGTGTTGGTGCTCTGTGGAAGATTTTGTCTGCAAAGTTTTCCATTGTGCACAAAAATGTTTGAAAACCACTGGCCTGGCAAACAGTTGTTTACCTAATAAGGCTTGAAGTTTTACAGGGTTCCAAGGAAATAATCCATTAAATACTTATCATGACAGCTGTCTTTTAGTGAACATTAAATAAAAGCTGCATATTCTT